TGTGAAGAGTAGTGGGAGCACAGAGGAGAAATGGTGATGGAGGATTGTTTCCTCCTAGTATAGAGTGAAAGAACGACCGGACAAGGCTTGTGAAGTCAGAGAAAGTACTGGTTATTGAGGAACAGCTTTGCACATTTATAGAGCTGGGGGCGGTTCAACAGAGCAGGGTATTGGGAACTTTCTGATTGGTGGGTAAGGATTGTGAGGGTCAGCAAGGCTCACCACTGGGCAGCTCTTCCCGCCACTGTCTCGGGGCATGGGGAAGTTAGTACCAGAAGAGAAGCACCGTGGGTGCCATCTTTGGAGCTGGGGTGACTCCCAACACAGAGGGTCAGGCCTGGGCAGGAGCCTGATTTAGTCAGAGGCTCAGCTATGGGGTCACTGGGAACTTTGTGAGAGGGTTTGAAGCAACAATTGTGAGGCTTGGTCCCAGTGGCTAAGGCTTTACCTTTTTTTGTTTTTTAATACCAGGGATTGAACCTAGTAGTGCTTAACCACTAGTCCTTTTTATTTTTTATTTTGAGACAGGGTCTTGCTAAGTTGCTTAGGGCAGCACTAAGTTGCTGAGGCTAGCTTTGAACTTGTGATCCTCCTGCCTCCACCTCCCAAGTCGCTGGGATTATAGCCACTGTGTCCAGCACTCTACTCTTTTTTTTTTAATTGATTAAAAATAAAAAAGACAGTGGAATGTTTTACAATTCTTGTTACACATATATACCACAATTTTTATATCTCTGTTTGTATATACAGTATGTTGATACCCAAAATGTGTCTTCATATATGTACTTTGGATAATGATGTCTATCACATTCCACCATTCTTGCTAATCCCCTGCCCTCTCCCTTTCCCTCCCACCCCTCTTCCCTATCTAGAATTCATCTATTCCTCACATGCTCCCCCTCCCTACCCCACTATGAGTTAGCCTCCTTATATCAGAGAAAACATTCGGCATTTGGTTTTTTGGGATTGGCTAACTTCACTTAGCATTATCTTTTCCAATCCCATTTACCTACAAATGCCATAATTTTATTATCTTTTATTGCTGAGTAAAATTTCATTGTGTATATATGCCACATTTTGTTTTAATCCATCATCCACTGAAGGGCATCTAGGTTGGCTCCACAGTTTAGCTATTGTGAATTGTGCTGCTATAAACATTGATGTGGCTGTGTCCCTGTAGTATGCTGTTTTTAAGTCTTTTGGGTATATCTGAGGAGAGGGATAGCTGGGTCAAATGGTGGATCCATTCCCAGATTTCCAAGGAATCTCCATACTGCTTTCCATATTGGCTGCACCAATTTGCAGTCCCACCAGCAATGTATGAGTGTACCTTTTCCCCCACATCCTCACCAACACTTATTGTTGTTTGTCTTCATAATAGCCGGCACTCTACTCTTATGACTTCAGTTGCTGCTGCTGTAATCTCTCCCCTACCACAGGGCATTTAGTCCAACCCATTTCTGAGGTATCAGGCATAGCAGGGCCTTTTACTTTTTTACTGAGATGCTCAAACAACCTTACAATGGAGAAGAGGGAAAAGGCCCCAGGTGGATGGCTGGGAAGGATTTTTATTGAGAAGAAAAGAGAGATTCAGAGTCCTTAAAATGCTTAAGAGAGGTGGTGACTCTGCTGGAGCAAACTCTTGCTGCCTCCAACCAAGCTTAGGCCTGTAGATCTGCTCAGTGCAGCAGCAAGGACAAGGTCAGAGAAAGGAAGGAAAGGTTAACTTTAAAAAGGTTTATGAACCCCTTTGCTAGTCAGCTTTCCATCACTATAGCAAAATACCTGAAGCAATTAATTAATAAAAGTTAAAATATTTATTTTGACTCATGGTTTTATAGATTCTAGTTTATAATCAGACAGACCCATTGCTTTTAGCCCTCTGATGGGGTTACTAGATGACAATGGCAAGGAGCACATGATAGAGTAAACTGTTCACCTCATGGCCAGGAAGCAACTCATGACCTCTTAAAGGGAAAGCCCTCAATGACCTAATGATTTCCCACAAGGCTTCACCTCCTAATAGCACACTGGGGACCAAGCCATTAAGACATGGAACTTTGGGGGACACTCTAGCCATAGCACCTGAGTCTCTGAAGAGAGGTAGTTTGGGTGTGAGCTGGTTGGGGGCAGGGGTAAAGAGGGGAAAGGGAGATCCTTGTGCTTAGCCCAAGTCTGAGGCATGTTTTAACTGTTGTTAAGTATGCATCTCTCAAAGGAAACAATACTCATATGCTAGGCTAGATGGCTCCTGGGCCCTTGCTAGAGGGTCTCTCCAGTCTCGGGTTGGAAGAGAGCCTTTCTCTGTCCACCTGTCACTCCCTGGCTGGTGTAGTGACAATGACTGGGTAGCTTGAAAGTACAACTTCATGTCCAAGGCATCCACAGGAAGGGGACTTGAAACAACAATCAATATTCTCCCAAAGACACCCAGCCCTTTCATACTTATACTGCCTTCACCTCTTCTAGACAGTTCTGATACACTTGCATAGCCCACATCCCTGCAGTCCTGTTGAGCCTATCTCTGAACCTTTAGTACTACACTTCTTAAATATAAGCATCCATACAAATCATGTGGGGATATTGGTCTGGAGTGGAGCCTGAGTGTCTGCATTTCATACAAGGTCCCAGGTGATACTGATGTTACTAGTACAGGGACCACCCTTTGTTAGCAGGGTGGTGCCACACTATATACCCACACTATCCCCAGATAGCTCCTCAGAGAGCCCTCTATCCTGTCCTTAACCTGGTTCTATTCTTAGTGCCAGGAGGGGACAGCCATTTGCAAGGGAAGGAGAGGAGAGACTGCCCAAAACTCAGGTTGGGGAGGCAGTTCTTTAGGAACTCTGGCTGGTTCTAGGCATGAAGTCATTCACAACTATTTGTTCCAAGTGTGGTTCTTCTGAATTCAGTCATTTTTTTAGTTAATATTGCTTAGTTAACACCTGCTCTATGTACAGCCATAGCACTTGAGGCTTTATCTATATTACCTCAATCCTTCCCTGAACCAAGTAAGGTAAATATCATTTTAATTTTCAAACTGAAGAACCAGATTGTGTAAAGTAATATGTTCAAAGTCACACCTTGAAGGTGGTTTGAATCTAATTTGTTCATCTTTCATACTCCAGTCTCTCTTCAGAGACATCACATAAAATCATGAGATTAATACCTTACCAGAACTAACACAGCAGGGGGACTGCTGTCTTGCAAAGCAGTCACTTGGAAGGCTGGCACCTAGTACAATCATGTCTCTAGAGCTCAGTGCATACTCAGGGCCCTTCTTCAGAAAATAGCATGGATGTTTTCTGATCATGAACTTTCTGCTCAATGAGTTCTCCACAAGAAGGAAATATTGAAGCCACTGAAGCAATCAATAACTCAGGATGGAGAGCCTGGCAGGAAACAGAAAGAAAGAAAAAGCACTGGGAACAGAGAATGCTGAGCCCAGGAGAGGAAAAAAGAGGGCAGTGCAGGAAAAGGAGAGGAAAGGAATCTTAGCCATTACATTAATTTCTGGCCCCACATTTTAGGGGCACCTATATTCTAGGCAGAGGGCTGAGTACTGGGTATATAAAGATATGGCTCCTGCTCTTGAAGATTATAGACCAGGAGTGAGGCAAATGAATAGCAATTTTCATAGTATGCTAAATGCTACAGCATAGATTTTTTTTTAATTTGGTAGAGTTTAATGGTGAGAAATATTATCTTTAAACTTGTAACCAATTTTCGATTAAATCTGTACATACATTATAATTCTACTTCTTTCTTTTTTTTAAACATGGAGGGAAGGAGGGAGGGAGGGAGGGAGGGAGAGAAAGAGAGAGAATTTTAATATTTATTTATTTTTTTAGTTTTCGGTGGACACAACATCTTTGTTTGTATGTGGTGCTGAGGATCGAACCCGGGCAGCACGCATGCCTGGCGAGCGTGCTACCGCTTGAGCCACATCCCCAGCCCCTACAGCATAGATTTGTATAGAGTGTTGTAAATGCACAGGAGAGAAGCACCCATCCTACTCTAGGGAATTAGGGAAGACTTCTAGAAAGCTCAAGGATGAAGCATGTTGGGAAACAGAAGTGAACCAAATAGAGAAAGGAGTGAGGAAGAAGAAGAAAAGAAAGGCCCATGAGGAAGATGCATAAGATTATATAGCAGGCGAAAGAATTAGCTCAATTGTGCTAGAATGTTCAATGTTAGGAGGTAAAGTGCAGGTGATGAGACTGGGAGGAAGATTTAAAATGAGGAAGCGTTTGTAAATCAAATTCAGGGATTTGGACTTGAACTGGCAAGAGTGGGGAGTCACTGAAGAATTTTCAGCCCATTGTCAGATTTACATGGGTAGAATCAGTCTGGGAACAGTATCAGGAGAGTGGGCTAGAATGATTAAACTAGAGGCAGGATGGCCCTCTGGCCAAGAATCATTGCAAGAGGCAATAAGAACTTGAAAAAGACAGTGTTCAGGAGATTAGAAAAGGGGGATGGAGAAGAAAAACATAACAGAGGGTAGGCTACTGGGGCTTAGTGGCTAATTGAACCTGGGTTTGAGGGAAAAGATTTAGGCAAGGATGACTTGTTTCCCTCCTGACTCAGGTGACTGGGTGAATTGTGACGCCACCAAACAACAACAACAACAACAACAAAAAAAAAAAAAAAAAAACAGAAATACATTTTAATGACTTTGTTTTGTGCAGGAGTGTGTGTAGATTTATTTGGAGAAATAACATGAGGAACACCAAAATAAAAGGCATATGCAGAAAACTGGTAGCCATGGTAAAGGGTGCAGGTGACAAGAGAGACTGGAATCAAGGATGTCTGGGAAGGGCAGGGTTTTAAGAAGAGTAATGTAAGACAGGAGGAAACTAGAACCAGAATCCTGAAGGAGCTCTTGCTATATGACAGGAGACTGTTAGAGAATGAGGCTGAGAGGAAAGGGCCATCAGAGAAAGGCCAGCTGTCTAAAGACATAAAGAAAGAGAACTGATAACACACTTTTCTTGGACTTGTTGACATTTCAGCAAAAACTTTATTTTGTTCTCAACAATTATGGATCTGATCCTTGGAACCTTGAGATTTCCCACAGAGGGAAGCCCTCTGGTAGAGAAGTCCAGTCATGGTCGAGATCATGGTGGGTCTGCTGTTTTTCAGGAAGTGTGGGCTGAAGACAAGGAAATCTGGGCAGGGTCTGGCCAACCTAGAAGTGACAGCAAGGAGTGGGGTGTGGATTTTCCCCAAGTTCTGGCTGCATCAGAGTCTCCTGACTTACCCTTGGGCCACCATTCCCAGGCTGTGATTTAAAAAAAAAAAAAAAAAAAAAGCGCAACATTAGACTTCTAGTCCTTTGAGGCAGGAGGCAGTGCAGAGTTAATAGGAGTGGACTGGGATTCCAGGACAGAGATGGGAGCAGAGGAGAAAAAAAAATTTTTATTTTATTTTATTTTATTTTGGGGGGGGGGTTATTGGGGATTGAACCCAGCATGCTCTACTAATGAGCTACATCCCCAGCCCTGTCTATTTTATTTTTATTTATAGACAGGATCTCACTAAGTTGCTTAGGACCTTGCTAAGTTGCTGAGGCTGGCTTTGAATTTTTGATCTTCCTGCCTCAGCCTCCCAAAATTGCTGGGATTACAGACATGTGCCATTGCACCCAGCCTGCATTGAGATTTTTACAGAACTGGGAACTCCTATTCCACCAATTGTGAACATCCAGATGGAGGCTCAACCTTGGAACTTATACTCTGTAATGTGGTAATCATAATTTCTCACTTTTAAAACCTCCAATAAGGGGCTGGAGTTGTGGCTCAGTGGTAGAGCACTTACCTGGCATGTGTGAGGCTCTGGGTTTGATCCTCAGCACCACATATGAATAAATAAATGAAATAAAAGATCCACTTACAACTAGAAAATATTTTTTAAAAAACCTTCAATAATACCTTTTTGTAAAAATAAATAAATAAAAGTAAAAAAAAAATCACTTGACTTACTTATTAACTTATCTTCAGGCATTGTAATGGAGTCAGAAAGCAGCATAGTTTCACTGTGCCCAGAGAAGTTTTAAAAAATTACAGGCATATACCTGTAATCACAGGAACTCAGGAGGCTGAATCAGGAGGATTATAAGTTCAAAACCAGCCTCAGCAATTTTGTGAAGCCCTAAGCAATTCATCAGGACCCTGTCTCAAAATAAAAATTAACAGGGCAGGAGATATGGCTCGGTGGTTAAGCACCCCTGGGTTCAATTCCTGGTACCAAAAAAAAAAAAAAAGGTACAGGTAAATATTTGTTCTATTTCCTGTATCCAAACAATGAAACTTATGAGTGAGTTGGCAGGGTACTAAAGTACAGGAAAGGCTTGTGACTAGCAACCTCAATGAGGTTGGACAGACTTCTCCTGAAATCTTGACCTTGAGGACCTACTACATTCTGAAAAAAAATCATGGGCAGGAACACCCTATCTTTGGCTATTTATAAAAAATAATTACAAATTCTGGGAATGCTGTCAAAATTGAATGAAAGTATTATGCTATTTGATGCATTTGAAATAACCCAGTAAATTGAATTTTTTTTTTTTTATGCTATGAAAGGATTGCTTGTTTTCTAGAGTTAAATCTTGGTTACAATTAGAAAGGAGACTCCAGAAGTTACTATGTTCCCTGGCAGGAGAACAATACTTTTTCTTCACCCACTCTATACCCTTGTAGCTATCATAAAATTAGTAATAAAGTTGCACATTGGGCCTCAAGGAAACACAGAGTAACCACTTCTAGGAGTATTTTGGCTTTTAAATGGACACCTAATTTCACAGGCAGTTGGAGTCTTTTCATATTATGACTTACATTCTTTTCCCAACCCCTTCTATTTTACACTCCAGTGAAACTTCCTGAGTGTTGGATTATTGGTGATTTTATCATAGTAATGGGGATTTTATCTTAGTACAGGGGCACTTTATCACTGGACACACCCCCAGGCCTTTTTATTTTGACAGGGTCTCCATAAGTTGCTAAAGGTCCTGCTGAATTGCTGAGATAGGCCTTGAACTTGCCATCCTCCTTCCTTAACATAGTCCAATATTTGGAGAGTAATTTTCTGCTCTTTGTTGGTGGGACTAAAACAAATTCTATTCATAGATAGGAGAAATGAACCCCCAAATCCTGGATGTCAGTCTATAGTAGATCCTGGGCTGCTCTGGATTCTGAGAAAATTTTGCTTTCTCACCCCCACTACCTCTGGCCCAGCTCCAGCCAGCTGCAAATTGTCTGGATCGCACTGCTTCGACACACTGATATCATCAGCCTTGCTGTGCCTGAAGCATGCAGATAGGAACAGGCAATGGCGCCGTCTCACCGGACATAGTAATGTAATTTAGTTTCTGAAATCCAAGTATAAAATCTTGAAAGTGGATTTTTTTTAATCTACATCAGGAGGAGGGGTGGTTGTATGGAATTCCCAGTGGAAACCATCTAAATAGGAAAATGGCTTCTGTCATGTATTAATAAATAGTTCAAAGCAATGGAAAAATATACAGAGAGGATTTGTAGGGAAAGTTAAGTGCCTAGTCTTTCTCATCTCCTTTCTCCTCCCTCTGAACTGTGCCTAGAAGTAAGGACCACTCTATTTGTGCGATCCCCAAGCTAGAACTGGCAGACTCTTCCTGAGCATTCCTGAGAATCCCCTGTTAAGAGAGATCAACAGGTACTGCCTGCCCCTGGGGTCATGCCATGGCAATTTGAGTGGGCCTCAACAAGCACTTTTTTTTTTTGGAAAGGAGTTATTCAGATATGGCTAAGAATAGGGGGCGGGGAAGGGGGCAAGCAGTGATAGAGTGCTTGCCTAGCATGTGTGAAGCACTGGGTTCAATCCTCAGTACTACATAAAAATAATTAAATAAAATAGGGGTGGGGCTGTTTTGATCCTATGTCTGTTCAGTGTTTTCTGACAACCTAGGGCTTCAACAATGTTCACCAGGCAATTAACTCACCCAAGGCAGAGGAACTCTTGGGAATTCAGACATAAGGGCAAGGAGACTATGAAAATAGTCCCTGGAACAGCAAACATATCTTGTGGCTGAAGAGTAGGTTCTGTAGATTCCAGTTTGCCTGTGAATGCACAAACTTTTAGAATCCAGAGAGATTGTTTCACTCTCTGAGAGACTAGGTCTGTTTTTATTCAGGCCCTGAGATCCCAGAAAAAAAAGCCTCCAGGGCAGAGAGTAAATGAGTTGTCTCAGGTCAATGCCTTATAGCAGCCCTGGGATTAGAATTTATGGGCCCTTCTTTCCAGTCAGCTGCTCCCTACCCTGAGTCCTGCACTGTTCTTCTTCTGAATGCTCAGGATTGTATTCAATTTAGTAAGGTTTGTGGTCATACAATCATGGCTCCTAAATAAAACAATGAGTACAGAGCATCTGCTATGAGGAAGACAAACACAGGGGCGCCTTTGCCCCTGAGAACAGATGGAGAGCAAGCTCTGGCTGAGGTTAGGCTGTTCTACTTGAACAAAAACCAACACAAACAGACCTCTTGGGATCTGTCAAAATCCTCATCTGTTCTTGTTGCTTCTCTAGTCATTGTTGTGAGTTAAAAGAACCTGTGCTTAGTCCCATTGTAAGGGCCTTTCCTGGAAGATGGAATGAGCTATTTCCAGGAGCAAGAAAGAGGCCAGGCTGAGGGGACATTCTGGGTTCAGATCCCCTGAGCATTTTTTCACCATAAATTAGTTACTACATTGTCAATAGCCCCATCTCCAGGAGCACTACACAGCAATACCTCTTCAGGTGGGGTGGAAGCAGCCCCAGTCATTCAGACTAAATTCTGCCAGGTCTACTCATGGCTCAGTGAGATGTTCTTTCCTTCTTGCCCTTCTTTGTCTTTTATTTTATTTATTTATTTTTGGATTGAACCCAGGGGTACTTAACCACTGAGCCACATCCCCAGCCCTTTTTTATATTGTATTTAGAGACAGGGTCTCACTGAGTTGCTTAGTGCCTAGCTTTTGCTGAGGATGGCTTTGAACTTGCAATCCTCCTGCCTCAGCTGCCCAGGCTGCTGGGATTACAGGTGTGAATCAACACGCCCAGCCCTTCCTTCTCTTATTGTGGCTGATTGGTGTAGTTGGAGGAGCCTGGCACTGTTTTCCAGGGGTTTCTCTATTTCACCAGTTAGATCAGTTTCTTTGACTGGGAAGTTCTTTAAGATATAAGGCATGCAATGTCCTTTGGTTTGATGGTTCCTTCAGTGAAAAACCCAGGAACCTATGAAAGTTGAAGAAAACAGTCTCAAAAGGAGGAGGACTTACATGAGATCAGAGCAGGGCTGATTGATAGAAATGGGATGGCCATGGAAGACTCCTACTTCATGTCTTGAAACATGCTCAGTATTACTTTGTAGTATCCCATCCCTCATGCCATGATGGAAGAGGTGATGTTAGAGGAAAAAGGCCCTCACCAACATGCAGAGTCCTACAGCCCTGAGGTATTAGGGTGCCAGATTCTGGCTAGAGACAGCTCAGGAGATGACCTGATTGTCTTGTAAGCTTACTTTACCTTCAGAGTGATGGTGACTTTAGTAGAGAGCTCAGTGGGTCTAGTTGTGTTTGAGGGGAGGTAGGAAAGGACTGGAAGAGATAAGGGTTGATCTTTGAAGAAGAGGTCAGGATCTTCACAGATAGGGAAATAAACAGGAAGGCTACTAAAAAATCAATAAGCACAGAGGATTAAGGACATGGGCATCTAGGTCTTTCAGACCTGGCAGGACAGGCAGGACTCATCTAGGAGCTCTCCAGGGTTCTGAACTGTATCCCCTGAAGACCTTGAAGGATTTGGACAAGAGCCCTTCCCACTGGTTAATGCTGACCTTAAATGCCACTGAATCATCTATGTCCACTGGTGATATCAATTGCTTGTCTGAACCCGTGTCCTGCATGGCCCAAAGCAGCTCCAGAATGATTCCAATCACTCCCTATTACCACAGCCTGGGCTTCACGCCAGCTGCCTGTCTCTCTGGTCAGATTTTGAACAATGGGTGAGGTTCAGACTCTTGGTGTGTGTGTGTGTGGTGTGTGTGTGTGTGTGTGTGTGTGTGTGTGTGAGAGAGAGAGAGAGAGAGAGAGAGAGAGAGAGAGAGAGAGAGAGAGAGAGAGAGAGAGAGATATCTCCCAGTCACTCTGAAAGCTCAGGACAAAGCATACCTGGCTCAGGAACAAGTAGCCATAGGGAAGCGAGAGGGTTCTCCATTTAGTATATCCTCAGGATGCTGCTCATCTGCCTCTCCCCTCTCCTCAGCAGCCACTGCACACATGCCAGAATTCTCCATTCTGTCATTGCAGAGTCTGTTCTGCTGCAGAGAAGGTAGTCTCCTTTGTCTGCAGCAGAACACACCTGATTTATTCTCATCATAGATATTACAGAAATTTGGCAAAGAGCACCAAAATGTAAATTTTTTTTTCTAAATTCAAGGGGAATACAGTCACTGTAAAAAGTTCAGATAAGCAGAAATAAGAAGGAAAAACATCATCACCCTCAATCCTACCTCCCAGAGCTATCCAGTGTTAATTTCCTGGCACACAGTGGGTCCTTGTGTATGCATATGGAGTGTGTGTATATGTGTATATATGTATGTATGTACACACACACACACACACACACACACGGTTCTCTCTTCAAGCGCAGGGGCCCCAGCCCTTTGGCCCACCTTCTCTGGCCATCAATTTTCTGCCTCTCTGCCTAGGAGTATCCATTTTCCTCATACAAGTCCATTTGCCTGGCTTGGGTAAACCTGCTTCTGGCAGTTTGATTCCTGCCTCTATTTCCCACTCCTTTCCTTACCTGCTCTACTGACTCTTCTCTTGGGGTCAATATTCCTAAAATCCAGTGGTCTTTTCTCAGATGATCTCCCATTGGCTTTTGAGTGCTGACCAGATATTTCTGGAAACCTTATATTTCTTTGACTTTTATGCAAATATTCTATCCCTATTTATTCTAACACTTTCCTTATTGTTTCTCTTCTTACACTGTAGGCACTCTACCCAGTGTGCCTAGTGATTTTTTTTTTCAACATGTCCTTTCCTGGCATCTCAAATAAACATTATTTCAAGTAACACCTCTTTGGGTTTTATTCCCTAGTCTACATATCCATCTCTGACCTCTTTCTTAAATACCAGACCCAGACTTCCAACTGCCTGCTACTTCCAATGATATCATGCTCCTCCATGGCCTAGTGCTTCCTTTCCCAATCAAATGAACTCAAAAAATGTGGGGGTGGGAGGAGTTTAAAAATGTTTATTTTGAAATATATACATACATATGCATATATATGTATATATATACACATACACACACACACACACACATTGTACCATAGGCAATCTCTTAGGTATCCCATTATGGTTTTAAAGTGAAATTCTCTAACAACAAATAATGCTGAGTATTTATTCACATGCTTATTTGCCATTTGGTTATCCACTTCAATGAAATACCTGTTTATGTGCTTTGTTAATTTTTAAAAAATATTTTTAGTTGTAGACAGACACAATACTTTTATTTTTATGTGCTTTGTTAATTTTTAAAAAATATTTTTAGTTGTAGACAGACACAATACTTTTATTTATTTTTATGTGGTGCTGAGGATTGAATCCAATGCCTCACACATGCTAGGCAAGTTCTCTACCTCTGAGCTACAACCCCAGCCCTGTTTTGTTAATTTTTAATTGCATTATTTACTGATTGTTGGAAAAAAAAGAACCTTGATTCACACATTAAACTCAGATTAGCATGTATTTACTAAAAACAGTATATATAAATTATGCTGGCTACTGCAAATAAAAAGAAAAAAACTAAGATGCTTATTATTATTAATATTATTATAGTTGTAGATGGACACACAATATCTATGTTTATTTTTTATTTTTATTTTTTAATTTGTTTAGTTGTAGATGGACAGAATGCATTTATTTTGTTTATTTTTATGTGGTCCTGGGGATCGAACTCAGTGCCTCACACATGCTAGGCAAGCATTCTACCACTGAGCCACATCCCCAGCCCCCTAAGACATTTTTAAACTTGGAGAAATTAAAAATTGTTAGTATGTTTAAAAAAACTTTTTATTTTGAAATAAATTTATTTACTTGTAGAGACAGTCTAGAGAGTCCTTGCATACCCTTCACCCACTTCCCCTAATAGTAGCATCTTACATAACCATAGTATGTTTATCCAATCTAAGAAATCAACACTGCTACAATATTATTAACTAAACTAAGGAGTTTATGCACATTTTTCCAGTTTTTCTACTAATATCCCTTTTCTGTCCAGGTCCATATTACATGTAATTGACATGTCTCCTTAGTTTCTCAGTCTTTTCTTTACTTACATGATCTTGACTTTTGAAGAGTATAGGTCAGGTGTCTTCTAGTGTCTGTTCAATTTGGATTTGCTTGGTGTTTTCTCATGTTTGGACAGAGATCATGATTTTGGAAAAGAATACCATGGACGCAATGCATCCTCTTCATCACTGCATATTAGGAGGTATTTGCCTTATTACCTGTGTTATTAACCTTAATTACTTAGGGTAATGTTTGCCAGGTCTCTTTATTATAAAGTTACTATTTTTCTCTTACCATATTCTATTTATCAGAAAGAAGTCACTAAGTCCAGCCCATACTCAAGGGGAGGGAAATTAAGTTCTATCTCCTTGAGGGAAGAGTATCAAAATTTGTGGAACTATGTTAAAACTATCAGAGTAATTAATACATATTTTAAAACAGATTCTTATAGGCTATGCAAATATCTTGTTTCTCCTTAAAGTTTCACCCACTAATTTTAATAATCAATTTGTCTTGATAGCAGCCATTATTACTATGATATTCTAATGTAATTTTTATTTGCCTCATTCTTTCTATAAATAATGTAAAATTTAAACAAAATAAAAAATATAAAAGGGCTGGGGATGTAGCTCAGTGGTAGGTACAGTGCATGCTTAGCATGTTTGAGGACTCAGTACCACCAAAAAAAAAAAAAAAAAAAAAGATATGTGTGTGTGTGTGTAAACTAGAATTCCTCTGAAAAGAATATCTGTCCCTTTTCCATTTATTTATTCACTCATTTATTTATATCAGTATGGATTGGTATATATTTATTTTATTTGGGGAGTTCTAATCCAATACTATCAATATTTATTTTTTTTGCTCAGATTGTTACAGCTTTGACCACTGGGAGCTCTTTCAGGTTTGCTCCTGTTTCCTTTTGACCTGCCTATGAGGTCACTGAGGTCATTTTGATCCACCTCCTTCCTCTGTATAACTCTGAAAAAATAATTGTAAACATGGCAGCATTTTCTTCAAAATATCTAACATTGTTTGTTTGTTTCGGTACTGGGGATTGAACCAGTACCAAAGGGATACTTGACCATTGTGGTACCTCTCCAGCCCTTTTAATTTTCTTTATTTTGAAATAGGGTCTCATTTCATTAAGTTGCCAAGACTAGTCTTGAACTTGTGGTCCTTCTAACTCAGCCTCTCCAATTGTTGGGATTACAGGCATGCACCATTGCACCCAGGATTTTTTTTTTTTTACTTTGACACTGGTTTATGATATGTTGCATGGGCTAGTGTTGAACTGCTGGAGTTAAGTGATCCTTCCACCTCAGCCTCCCCAGTGCTGGGACTACAGGTGTACACCATCATACCCATGTTTGTATATTTTAACATTTCCTCAGCCAACACTCTGCTTCAGGTCTTTGACAACTTATCCCCATCTCACTACCCTGTCTCCTTTTCCTCCAACTCATCTTGTAAATTACTCTAAGAATACTCTTCTGAGAATTAAACATTTCTCTGATTATAGTACTCCTTTGCTTGAGACCCCCCCAATGGCTCCCACTACTTAAAAACTCATTGATCTGGCATTCAATATTTTTAAAAAAATGACTCCAACTTGCCAATCAGGCTACTTCCCCCAATTGCTCATCTTTCTAGATTCTTTGTTCTCTTTCCCCCATGTCAGCCCTCTACAATGACTTCCAATGTCTACATCTAGTCTGACTATATCATTTTAAGCCATTAAAATATCTTTATTGGTTTCCTTAACTTACAAAAGTAATGCATGTTCAATGGAGAAAACAAAACAATACAGAAGCAGATGAAGTAGAAAATGAGTCTGATTCTCCTCTGCCCTCCCCCTTCCTCAGGTTGGATTTAAGAATGAGTGGCCTTTTGGGCTGGGTGTGTAGCTGGGTGTGAGAAAGCACTTGCCTAGCATACACAAGACCATGGATTTGATCTCCAGCAACACACACACACACACACACACACACACACACGTCTCTTTATTAAAAAAAAACACACGTCTCTTTATTATAAATCAATGGCCTTTCAAGATTTTTCAGTATTCTCCTATCATCCTACTAAACTGCTATGTCATAATAAACAGATTTAGAGGTATGCTTGTTTACATGAGTTCATAATACAAATATGAAAAGGTTAAATTTAGAAAAATGTAGATCTTTATGTTTGTATTACAACTTATAGTTTCAAAGCATTTTCCTTATTATTATCTCTCATCTCTGACAATCGTAAGAGAGAGAAATAGCATCTATTATTTAATCCCAATTTTGCAAATAAAAAAATCTGAAATCCTGTCAAGCTGAGCAGCTCCCCTGGAATCTCCTAGCTGGGACAAGGTTCCAAGTTTTCTGGCCCCTTTTCTACTTTACCACACAAAAAGACCATATGGAAAACCACAACACAATAAGCAGCAACACTGGGCTAGGATGTGGCTCAAGCGGTAGCGCGCTTGCCTGGCATGCGTTCGGCCCGGGTTCGATCCTCAGCACCACATACAAAGATGTTGTGTCCGCCGATAACGAAAAAATAAATATTAAAAAAAAAATCTTTCTCTCTCTCTCTCTCCCTCTCTCACTCTCTCTTTAAAAAAAAAAAAAAAGCAGCAACACTAATGGGAGGGAGGCCAGAAGCCAAAGAGAACCACCCAGAATATTCAAATATAAGCAGTCATGGCTTTACCTTGGGGAATGTGAGAATAAATTTGTTCCTTTGCTTCTCTTCTATGGCAAAGATAAAACTGCAGGAAATCTTTCAACAGGTAGTAAGATTCAGGACTATAACTGTTTAAGGTTAATGGCTTTCTATTCCGCCCCCCAAAAATGCCTTGCTCTTGAAAGCCACAAGGCTCTGCAGAACTGAAGTGAGAAGAAATGAGTCAGGTGTGTCAGGTCCAAGCTGGGGATGCCTAGCAGGGACAAGATTTTTAGATTTTTCTTTTCCTTTTTGAACTGGGGATCAGACACAGGGGAGCTTTAACTCTGAGTTACATCCCCAGTACTTTTATTTTGAGATAGGGTCTTGCTAAGTTGCTGAGGGTCTAAGTTGCTGAGGCTTGCCTTGAACTTGTGATCCTCCTACTTCAGTCTCTGAGTTGCTGGGATTATAGGTGTGTGCCATCACACCCAGACATTTATCTATTTTTTAGACTAACAAATCCCTAGAAGTGGAATTGCCAAGGAAATCAATGGGCATGCAGGCATTGTGTTGTCTTCCAGAGAGACTGTGACAATCTATACTCTTACCAACTCCATGTGTGTGGGGGTAGTTGGGTTTTATTTGGGGGTAGGGTACCAGGGACTGAACTCCGGGGCCCTCAACCACTGAGTCACATCCCCAGCCCTATTTTGTATTTTATTTATAGACAGGGTCTCACTGAGTTGCTTGTGCCCCACTTTTGCTGAGGCTGGCTTTAAATTTGTGATCCTTCTGCCTCAGCCTCCTGAGCCACTGGGATTACAGGCATGCTCCACCTGAATTAGTTTCAAGGGCAGCTTGAAAGTTTCCTTTGTCAAATTACCTTTGTTAACACTCCTTTCCTTTCATGGGTGTAATATTGCTTACTTTGCAAAGCTAGTGTTAGAATGACATGGAATAATATATGTGAAATGCTTTATAGCATGTATGGTGTTTATTTGTATGTTGCTCTCTCCTTATTTATAATATCATTACCATCTAAAGTATTCATCAACCCCAATTTCCTTCTCTCTCTCTCTCTCTCTCACACACACACACACACACACACACACACACACAAAAGAATATCTTGGAATTCTGACTAACTTGAACTTTGCTAATCAACAAGAGTATTACTCTCTTACTGAGCTTGAGTCTGAGCCTCCCAGGAAAGCCTTGAAGCCAATTTCCACAACTCTATCTTTCATGACTAAATCACAAAGAGACAAACACTCCTATCTTCCTCCAAATTAACTTTAGTAGGATCTTAATCAGGGAATACCTACTCCCCAGGACACTGCGATTAGGCCATTTTAATAGTTGGCCCTTTTTTCAGTAAAACATGACAGTATATTACAACCCACTCCCTATGTCTTCCTACAGCCTAACAAAAGCAGAATCTAGAGCATGGTTTCTTGGGGCTTTACCAACAGTACTGATTTACAGTTGAAATTTACCAAGGCCCAGTGACAACTCTCTGAGATGCCAAAAGAGGGCAGTGTAGTGCCATGGTTAAAAGCTGGGCTTTGATGTCACATAACTGGGCTTGAAATGGCTTTGCCACTTAGCTGTGTGTCCCTGGATCTCTCTTTTCCTCTCTATAGATTAAGGGATAGCTCCTTTACAGAATTGCAAGGATTAAATAAAATGTTGTGTGTCTGATAGCAGTAAGTGCTCACAAACAGCAGGACACACCCCTGGAGGAAGCTTGGTTAAATATGACAGTCAGAATTATATAGGATTATCAAGTAAAGGAAATAAGACTGAATTCATTCAAGTCATACATTCACTCAACAGGTATATAGTGAATGTCTATAAAAAATAAAATAAAGATATTGTGTTCATCTACAACTAAAAACATTTTTTTAAAAAAATACCTTGTAAGTCATCTGAAGAATATGAGTGGAAGTTGTTGAAATGTGAGGGGCTATACTGAGCATCCCTGCTACTGGCAACATTTTCCTCTGGTATCTCTTCTCATTGTATGAAAGGAATTGGGCTTCAGATAATTTCTGCGGTGACTGTCCAGAAGAGGAAAGCAAAGTAATATGGAACAGGTCCTTCTAGAAACAGAATGTGGTACTCTGGATTCTTGCTGCCCAAAGAAGAGCTAGACATGAGGAATGTGGGTGGGGTATCTAAGACTGTGAGGCTGTCATCAGAAATCCTATGTAGTTGGGCCTCCAAATCTGTGGGTTCCACATGAGTGAAGTCAATTAATTTAAGATTGAGAATATTCAGGAAAAAAGTTGAGTCTACACTGAACATGTACAAACATTTTTTTCCTTGTACTTACTTCCTAATAATATAACAACTACTTTTTACATGGCCATTTATATTGTGTTAGAGATTATAAATAATCTAGAGATGATTTAAAATATATAGGAGGATGTGCATGTGTCATATGCAAATACTAAGCCATTTTATAAAGGAACTTGAGTATGCATGGATTTTGGTATTGGCAGAAGTCCTGGAACCAATTCTTCATGGATACTAAAGATGACTATACTTGGTGATTGTTACTCCAGAGTTCCTAATGTTTTCTGGCTGCTGCATAGCAGTCCCCAGCTAGCCTCCACTTCTCCAACTTCCTGATTCAATAGAGACTCTATTGCATTGGACATAGTGACCAAAGGACTAACAGGTATTAGGCTAGGTAATGGAGGTACAGAACTTTTGTGGACAGGGGCAGGGCCTGGGTATGGGTACAGGTTTGTAAGAAGCAGCTCCCAACTTTCATGTGTTCCCAGTTAGCTGGCTTACAGGGCTTACAGGGATGAATGTGCTGTATTTGTCAGGGGTGCACACAGCACATAGGCTCTACAGTGTCACCTCTGTGAGGAGAAGGAACTAGGAGTGGAGAGCCTAGGGCAGCATAGGAATGCCAAAATACCAGAAGGTAATAATTGTGTTCCAGCTCTCAAAGCTCCCCCCCCACCCCGCACGGGGTACCAGGGATTGAATTCAGGGGCACTCAACCACTGAGCCACATTCCCAGCCCTATTTTGTACTTTATTTAGAGACAGGGTCTCAATGAGTTGCTTAGTGCCTTGCCATTTCTGGGGCTGGCTTTGAACTCACAATCCTTCTGCCTTAGTTTCCTGAGCTGCTAGGATTATAGGCATGCACACTGTGCCCAGCTCTCATAGGTTTTTTAACTTGGCAGGAAAAAAGAAAAGGACCTAATAGTGCTAGAGCTGCCCACCCTATTCTTTCTCCCAACTTCTATCAGCCTACATCCCAGCTAAACGGGAAACCAGGCTTGGGTCTCTGCCAATGCCCAGGCTGGGGCAGGAAGCTCAGGAAACAAGTGAGAAAGACCCTCCTCAGCACAGACGTCTACTCAGAAATCCCTGGAAAGGTAAAAGCAACCCAAGCCTGCTAAACTCTTTCCCACAGGAGAGAAGACAAGAGCTATTTCTCCTTCTGGGGTCAAGCATATCCCCAGAAGGATTCACAGAGAGCAGACCTAGAACTTCATGAGGGGAGATAATGCTGTCTCAGTCAGAATAGAAAAGTTAGCGCCCTCCCCTAAAGGAAGGTTATCAGTGAAGCAGGGAAGTATATGAGACCTAAAGATATCCTAGTATCATCTTGTGTTGATAAAGAAGGAAATGATGGTGCAGAATAAGGGCAGAGGTGGAAAAAAGTAGACCTAAAGGAGAGAGGCCAAAGACCAACTGATACTGATGGGGATGAAGGCAGAAAACTAAAAGGGGTTCTTTGTTGTACAAATGTGAAGGAAACTCTAATGAAATAATGGGCTGCAGTAATGACAATCAAGGGTTGTTAAAAACACTAGGTAAAAGGCTGAAGGGGGAATTCTGTAATGGATTTGCAATCAGGCAAATTACACCACTAATCAATTTGAAGTCATAAAAAATAGGACATGTCATGTGTCTCCTCATGGAAATGAAGATCACACCTCAGAAGGCAAGCTGGAAAGTAAATGGCAAACCTCAAGCATTCTTCACAAAAAGTCAGATCTGAATCTGATCAAACCTTGACATCTAACTAATTTGCAGAAATATAGGAGACAGAAGAATAGGATAAGAAACACCAAAGGGATGCAATCAACAAAACCCAGAATGTGGGAGACTTTACAGAGCAAAGGACTGATTTTTAAAAACAAATCAATTGTAAGAAAAAGTAGGAGGAACTATAGATTAAAAACATGTAAGCTTGGTGTGATGGCACATGCCTGTTATACCAGTGACTTGAAGATTGCAAGTTCAAGGCCAGTCTCAGCAATTTAGTGAGACTGTGCAACTTGGCAAGACCCTGACTCAAAATTAAAAAAAAAAAAAAATGGACCGAAGATTTTGTTCAGTGATAAATCACCCCTTAGTCCCTAGTACTAAAGAAAAAAATTTTTTTTAAAGAGACATCAAACAAATACAATATGTAGGCCAGATTCAAACAAACCAACTAAAAATTTTTTATGTTAAGGAATTACTGGTTTTAGGTGTGATAATGGTATTATGGTTATATTAAACATGAACTTTTTTAGAGAAACATACCATGATTGTATAGTTGAATAATTGTTCAGAATAATCCAGTGGGTAGGGTATGGGGGAGGCAAGATTAGTCTGGTGTCAATAACTGTTGAAGTTGAGTGATGTACACTAGTAGGTTCATTTTACCTTTTTCCTCTGCTCTGTGTATGTTTGAAATTTTCCATGACAATATGTTAAAAAAATGGAAGAAAATAAGCAGACTGGAACTGCCTCCTTCTTTAGTCCATTGATGACAGGACTGGGAATGGGGAGGAACAGCAATACAGACCTTTTTGAATCTTTCTTGAGTTCTGAGAGCTGAACTTTGGGAACTAAAATAGAAGCAGGATACTTTTACCTACCATCAACAGTGGGCTCTCCAGGAAGGTTCCACTGTGCCAATAGCACTCTGCCACAGGCATGGCGTGGAGGGGCAAGGGCAGGGCCTCAGCTATACTCCAGAGCTCCCCCTGCCCAGATCCACTCAGTGAAATCCTCTCTGGGAATAGATGGGAACACAGAGCACTTCCATCTCTAGCCTGATCTCACCACAGCCTTGTAAAGGAAGCTGAGGACTCTTCTTGTTTGGTGAAAAGAATAAACCATCTCCTTACCCTTTCCCACAAAAGTTCCCTTGGGAACCTCTGATGGAAAAAGGAAATCACCAACCCTTTCATCACCATCAACCCTAGACCAGAAATGATGGAGTAATTTGCAGTTCCTTTTCACATGTATGATCTTATTTATTTTACAAATAGCCCGAAAGAGGTTAGGAGACAAGCCAAAGGTCAACAAATTGGTAGCTAGAGTGTACCCAGCTGACTTCCCACCACTGCTGGGCTCAGCTCCTGCCTTGAGGCATGTGTCCCTCACTAACTCATCCTGGTCTTCCCATCCACTAAAGGATACTCAAACTGATTTCTCTTGAGGAAGCTTCTGGGAGATTGTCCTTCTATTGCACCTCAGACCCTGGCAAATGAAGGATGTGAAATGAAAGGGTCCATGAGGAAGCCTACCAGCTTCCCCTGACTTTTATAGGTTCTCGCTCTTCTTCCCCAAGCCATTAGCCACCACTACTTACCCATGTCATTATCCTCACTTGTCCTTTCCCTGAGTCTGTGTTTTCCTTTAAGCCAGGGATGGAAGCATCAGGTCAACTGAGAGCAGACAGGACTTTCTGGAAAATCTTCAGGGAATAGCTTTAGGATTCACAGGAAGCCCAGTGAAGGCCCCTCTCATCAGATGCTGCAATCTGTATACCAATGTGGCTAGTGGTTTTCCCCTTAGGGGCAGGCCTGCTCTCACACAGAATGGCCTATAACATTTGGTTTTTGTGGTAAGCAGAATGTGAGCCTCATGCCTGATATACTAAGAATAGGACATCCAGGCTGGCATTCTTCCTCCAAGATCTCTAGATACTTTTTCCACCTCTAGGAAGATGCGTGCAAGTCATACAGTGTTGGAAGATTCAGGTAGGAGCTCTTCATCAGCAGAGCTGTTTTTGATCATTAAATATTAAAGATCACAAATCTATTATTAGCCCTATGACAAAGCTGGCAGTAGTTATAAGCTCTGATACCAATGAAAGAAGGGCTACATTGGTCCTCCTATGTCCCTCACTTCTAAAAACTTACCTAATGCTGCAAAGAGAGGATGGAGAAAGGCCAATTTAGAAGGAACTCAAATTGTACAACTCAGCTGGGAGCCCCTGACCCACTGGGGAGCAAGAAGTAAGTTATTCCTTGTCAGAGCATTCAAGGTCCTTCTCATCCTGTGGTCTAAATTTAAACATCACTTTCTCATAGGAGCCTTACCTGACATCCCTAATCTACTGTAGGATGAAAATTATTTTCTCTTATTCTACCTTGTTCTTGTCTTTTCTACCACTTGTCATAGTTTGTAATTTTATTTGTGTGCTTATTTGTTTATTTGTTTTTTCTCTACCACTGGATTGCCAGGTCATAAAAGCAGGAAACATGTTCACTTTTTTCATTATTTTATTTCATATGTCTGGTACAATGTCTTTCATGCAACAGATGCTCAAAAGATGTTTTTTGAATAAATAATGAATTCCCCAACCATATATTCCTCTGAATCTCCCACAGTTTCCCAGCATGTAACTTCTACTTTACTCACTAATTCTGACCTACTCATTTCTCTCCATGTCTCTACTGTTCCCTCCTTAGAATTACCACGCAATCTCTTCTCCACTGTTACTCATCCTTAAAGGAAACAGAGCAAGTTTCTTCTTTGCTAAGTTGTAAGTTCTGAAAATAGAAGCTATATGCCAATGAGATCAAATGGGAGTTGGGAAAAAAAGACTCATAATACAACATATCAAAGTGGCACCCTAAATCAGAATATCATGTATCAAGTTATATACCAGAGGTTATAAAAGCTTTGGGATTGGTTGAGAGCATAAAAGAATAGTTGGAGAAGCTTCCTAGAAAAGGAGGGTTCACAATGATCTCTGAGAGTGGAATAGTTAGAGAAGGAGATGGGAAAGAAATCTTAAGAGGAGAGAAGGTCTGAGGATACCAATAGATGAGAAGAGGTGAAGGGCTTGGTCAGATCTTTAAGGAAGTAATTTCATGAATAGGTGTGAGGACAAAAGCCTAGTGTAGATGGCTTAAAGATCAGTGAAGTTTAAGCTTGATGTATAAGAGTTTAAGTCCCAGGTTGTGAAGAAAATATCCTGAGCCTGGGAGCCAGGGTACCTGTGTTCTAGTCTAGACAATGCCAACCTTCAGCAGAGTAATGGCCAAGACTATTTACCTTTCTGGGGCTGTCCTTGCTTATCTGTAACATTAGAAAAAATTATTTTCCTAATTTAGTTCACAAGGTGGTTCACGTGCTCTGGAAACATCTTTTCATCTCTCTTATAAAGGAATTTAAGATAGGGTTAAAACCATTGCGCTTTACACAAAGATGATGCAGTAGGACCAATAGGACGGGTAAAATAGAGAACTTGCATCTCATTGAAGGAAAGAGAAGGATGCATGAAAAAAATGGTATTTTTGTAATAGGTCTTGGAACATAACTTTTGAAAGTTGGTATTACAGAAATTAGGACAGCATTCCTCATGCTAGTTCCACAGCGGAGTGTGTGTGTGTGTGTGTGTGTGTGTGTGTGTGCTGGTAATTGGACCTAGGGCCTCAGGCATGCTAGGCAAGTGTTCTACCACTGAGCTATATCCCAAGCCCTTACAGTGGATTTTTAAAAACATCGTTATATTGCACATACACAGAGCCTTGTTTACTGCTCAAATACTATTCTTTGCTCCTATTTTCAAAAGAGCAAGGCATTTTACAAGGAGCAGTGTGTTTTACAGGTGTCCTCCAGTGCATTTTAAGAATTGCTACCCCAGGGAATGGGGTGGCAGATAGGATAACATTCACACTTTTCATCCACTGGCCCTGGTTCCTCCCTGTGCAGCCATAGGTAACACAAAGTCTAATTTCTTTTTCTTTCCTAAGCCCAGTTCTTTAGGCATTTGAAAAGCTTACAATCCTCTGAGACTATTTATTCACAGGCTGAACTGCCTCAGTTCTTCCAACTGTTCTCACACGATGTGGTTTTGACTCCTTTCATTATTCAGTCACTCCCTCTCTTGAGTGATATCAGCAGAGAATGCAGAGCTTCAGATAGTGCTGACCAGTAAAGAAGAGAGAAGACTAGGATCATCACCTCCTAGGACCTGAACTCTATACTTTTAATAATGAAGTCCAACAGTACATTAATTTCCCAGGTGGCTGTTATGTAGTAGTCTTTCCCCCTCCTCCACTCCTGTGGTACTGGGGATTGGACTCAGGGATGCTTTAACCACTGAGCTAGATCACCAGCATCCCCCACACCTTTATTTTTTAAAATTTAATTTAAGTTTTATTTTTGTAGTACAGGGGATTGAATCCAGGGTCTCATACATGCCAAGGAAGTGCTCTACCACCAAACCACATCCTCAGGCCCCTTTTTATTTTTTAATTTTGAGACAAGGTCTCACTAAGTTGCCTAGACTGGCATTGAACTTGTGATCCTCAGATCCTGAGTAGCTAGGATTACAGGCATGCTCCTCTAAACCAAGCTAATGGTCTTGTATAAAGCCTTCCATCCACTAAAACACTAGCTATTCAATCATACAGACTCATTTAGATTCTATTTAAACTTTACCTTGCTGAATTCAGGTAGCTTTTTTTGTTTTAATCTCCGCTATTTTTCTTAGAATAAGAGTTATAAGTAGGGGGCTGGGGATATAGTTCAGTTGGTAGAGTGCTTGTCTTTCATACACAAGGCCCTGGGTTCAATCCCCAGCACCACAAAAAAAAAAAAAAAAAAAAAAAAAGAGTTGTAAGTATTAAAACACCATCTCACTAACCCCAGTAGACCATTACCTGTATTGCCAGTCTGCCTAGCTTGAGATGTGATTCCAGGTTTTTACCTTTGATTTTACACCGCTAATGCAAAGAGCTACCCTATTTAAAATATGTTTTAAGTTCAATATAACAATAGGTACAGCCATTATCATGAAATCTCAACTGACCATAATGGAAGTATAATATCAATATTATGGGTACGGGCAGCCCTATAGTAATCTGTGCTGGTCAGATCACATAAAGGGATCTATGTCTAGTATCAGGGATGAAAAACTTCAAAGTATCCACTGAGGTAGCTAGGGTTACTAGGGATTTGGAAATCATTCTCCAGGGAAATCATGGAAGGAAAAAACAGGGTCTACTTAGCCTGGGGGTTGGGAGAGATTGTTGAGGTTTTATGCTAAATGGTAGGGACTGGCATCTGCAGTAACTGATGGCTTAAGTGAGACTTCTTGTGGCCTATTTCTTCTTGGCCTTTGGTCAAGGGCTTACAGCTTCATTTTAAGCATAGCCAACCATTCATATGATATTCATGAGATCTCTTCCTGAATCTGCCTCTTTTTCCCTCTAAACTATTTAGAAGAGTCAAAGGTTACTCCTTCTCACCTGGCCCATCTATTTTCAAAGGATTATTAACTTCATATTAATCTATTCTTCAAAAACCAGTGCTGAAGATCAGGTTAGGAAGGTCAATTTTCTCTATTAATTTCTTAAAGAGCCCTATCATAAGAATCAAACCTCTCAGTGAAAACAGAATGCTGAGCTGGCTAACATCCCCCAGAGTCTTCCTTTCCTGTGTTCTTTACCCAGTATAACTATGATGATTCAGGACTGCCAGGATGGCAACCAGAACACCAAAACTGCTGTTCTTCTTGCTGAAGATCATGGCAGACATGGAAAATCAACCATATCACTATTTCTCATGAAACCAGGACTCTGCTTCAGAATCCTTCTTAACACAATGCTCTGGATAGCTACTACTAACTAATAGGCATTGGTATAGGGGATGAAACTCCTTATAATTTATGCTTTATGTCACCTATGGAGGGCATAAAATGATTATGTAGGAATGCCCCTTAAGCTTGTTGTGAACAGTGAGGATATTTATTGATACTGCAGGTGAAATATTCCCTTAAGTCAGGAATCCATTTTTCATTTTAAATCCTCATTGAGCTGGGATTTTTCCTGACAAGATATTTGGAATATAATTTTTATCTGTTGCCTGTGAGAACACAAAGGACAGGGACAACCCATAGGTATTAAAAAAAAAACAAAAACCTAAAGCATGAGTTAACCATGTCAGGATTAAAAGTAAAGTTCAACATGGCTAAAGTATACAGTATATAAATTACATCTTTTTTTTTTTTTTTTTAAAGAGAGAGAGAGAGAGGGAGAGAGAGAGAGAATTTTAATACTTTTTTTTTAGTTATCACGGACACAACATCTTTGTTTGTATGTGGTGCTGAGGATTGAACCCGGGCCGCACACATGCCAGGTGAGCGCGCTACCACTTGAGCCATATCCCCAGCCCAATAAATTACATCTTAATACAGCTGTCAAAAAAAAAGGGACATGAGGAAAGTAAAACTCCCTTAGAAATATCATCAGAAAATCAAGGCTCTTAGTATTTGCTTCTGTACCAAAGTTTACTAGAAACTTCCTAATTGATGGTAGTTAAGTACAGACCTTAAAACAAATCAACATCTCACTAGAGACTAGCACAGGGCAAAATGGTGTTAATTATAAAGAGGCTCTAAAGAATGGGGAAGAAAATAAATCTAGACTGGATCACAACACAGATTAATTTCTAAGCTTTTTGGTTTTCCAAAAAGTAGTCCATGAAGACACATTGATTCTATAAGAGTGAGATGTTGTAAAAAAAAAAAGGGGGGGGGGGTTGTAGTTAAATAATCTTGAGAAATATTTAGTTAAACACAGTTGAAAATGTTTATTTCAGGATTTCTGAGAGCCTTTAAAATTCTAGTTGAAACTGGGAGTAGTGGCTCATGCTTGTAATCCTAGTGACTCAGGAGACTGAAGCAGGAGGATTACAAATTTGAGACCAGACTTGGCAACCTAGTGAGACCCAGTCTCAAAAATAAAATAAAAAGGGCTGGAGGTATGGTTCAGTGGTAGAGGAATTCTGGGTTCAACCCCGAGTACCATCGCAAAGGAAAAAAAAAACCAAAACACTAGTTAACATTGTGGTATGATAGAATGTATAGTGTTTCCCAAAGGAATTTTCCTATGGAGACTCCTCCTACCCCATGAAGTATGCCATAGGATTAATATTCCTAACAATATACTAAGGGAAAAGTAGATCTAAGCCATGCTTGTATAAGGGCTTCATCAACTCCTTTATAAGGATAAAATCCATATGGAAACTATAAATCATTTTATAGCATGTACATAATTATATTTAAGTTAACTATAATATATATGGCTCTTACTCTACAGTTTGGGTGTAGTTAATTCAGTAAATCTTAGTTAAACTAAGTTAAACTAACTTAGTTACTAAGTGCACTTTAACTAAGATTTGGGTATAGCTCAGTGGTAGAGTGCTTGCTTACCTACCACTTGCAAGGCCCTGGGTTCAATCCCTAGAAAAAAAAAATAGTGCCTTTTAGGTACTGTTTTAGATAAATAGATGAACTATTTATGAGAACCAAGAGTATGGTGACCAAAGTGAACAAAACCAGGCAAGGAGCCACAGCAACTGGGCTTTTGTCATTCTTATATTTCTTAGGGGTAAGAGTCATTCATGGCAGTTAGTTTCTTCTTGGCACATAACCATATACCTTCATCAAAGAAACTTAATATTGACTTTCAATAATCACATCCATATGATCTTCAACTTGACATCTCAGAATGACAAAATAACAACAAACACAGGAACACATTTGTTGGAACTGGCTCCTAAGACTGTGGCATAAGGGAAAACTCCTGCAGGCATGTTTACACTCCCTTTCCTAGGCCAGACCCTCTGGACCTCCATCCTAGAGAACTTTTCCACTCCAGAGTTCCTCCCTGAAGCCCAGAAGCTCACTTGGCTGCCCCACAGCAAGGTCTTGGGTCATGTGCCAATTTCAACTACAGAGCAGAGCCAGATCCAGAGTTTTACCCAGCTCTGCCTCCTTCCTTCCTTCCTTTCTCCCATCCTGAAAGTCAAATTCCCACCAAAGTCTCCTTAGGAAACAATGACTTGGGACTGTCCCAAGCTATACCTCGATTCCTTCAGCCAGAACTTCTGGGTATTTGTCTTGGATAAGGGCTTCATCAACTCCTTTATAAGGATAAAATCCATATGGAAACTATAAATCATTTTATAGCATGTATATAATCATATTTAAGTTAACTATAATATATATGGCTCTCACTCTACAGTTTGGGTGTAGTTAATTCAGTAAATCTTAGTTAAACTAAGTTAAACTAACTTAGTTACTAAGTGCACTTTAACTAAGATTTGGGTGCAGCTCAAATTCTGATTCTCCCCTTCCCACCTCCTCAGAGGCTCCCTGTACCAGTTTTCCCATGGTCTGCTGGAAGGTACAAGGCAACTAAGCCCAAGAAGTGGTTTCCATGTTCCCTTTCCACACGTAAGTCTCCATCTTTCAAGGAGGGAAGAGGGTCTCTGAAGTGAATCAGATCTAAGTAAAGAAGTCTGTTTTCCACTTCTGTTCACCCTAGGCTACAGGCAAGGACAGCAGGCAGCTGAGGCCTGGGAATGACTCAGCCTGAATCCTAGCTACCATGGAAGCACCTGTCTAGTAGAGGCTAAGGTACCTTTGAGTGATCTCACCCTAGAAGATTGCTCCTTTGGCATACTTTGTCTGGAAGGAAGTAGCACCAGTTTTTTACCCTAAGCCCCGCTTTCAGGGTGGTCTCGGAAAAGGGAGATATAAATACTTTTCTATTCTCACAGATAACGCCATAACACACACACACACACACACACACACACACACACTCTCTCTCTCTCTCTCTCTCTCTCTCTAAGAAATGAATGAGAGGGCCTACAGGTAAAACCATAAATTTGACTAGAAAGATAGTAAGAGCCCAGCCAGAAACTGCAACACAAAACACTTAAAATACAAACGATTTTATTTTTCCTTCATCTAAGTGCTGCTGAGAGGAAAAACAAAACAAAAATAACAAAAACCCATTCATGGCCTTGCTATCACCAATTCTCCTGTATTCAACAAAACAGAGGAAAAGTATTCATTGGTAGGTGAACACATTTCCCAGCAGCCCTTTTGAGGCTGTGAGTCAGTGCTACGTTCACGTTTACTCTGTCCATGTCTTTTCTTTTTTCTCCCAGTACTGGGAATTGAACCCAGGGCCTTGCACTGGCTAGGCAAGTGCTCTACCACTGAGCTCCTCAGCCCCTTTTAAATGTTTGAGGCATCATCTTGATAAATTGCTGAGGCTTCCTTGAACTTGTGATCTCCTGTCTTAGCCTCTGGGTAGCTGAGATTACAGGCATGCGCCACCACTTCTGGCTCATCTTTGGTTTTCTACAACTCATAACCCGAACTCATAGCTCCATTGCTTCAGCAATAGAGCAAAGGAAAATAGCAGCCTTCTCTGTTACAAGCAATCTCTGAGGCTAAGAGATCCACAGGCCTCCAAATCTCCTATGGTTCCTTCTTCCACCCAATGTTCACACCAGAAACCTGGGAGTCATCCTTAACTCACATTCCACCTCCAAACAGGTACCATATTCTGTTATTCTGCCTTATTAACATCTGCATATCTATCCCCCATCTCTCTGATTTTGCTTTAGGGTAGAATTTATTATCTCTTGCCTGGATTATTGTATACACCTCTATATTAACTTTCCAACTTCCAATCTCATTTTCTCCAACCCCTCATTCACCACTGGAGTGATGAACTCAAATTTGATCATGCTATTCCCTTAATTACATTCCAAATGTATCATTTTTGTTTCTTCCTCCATGCCCCTTGCCTGGAATTCCTTCCCTTGCCTCATCTTGTTGTTCTGCTAAGCTTTTAGTCCTTTTCCAAGAGCCAGTTCAGCAAGGTCTCCTCTGTGAAGCCTTTTCTAACCACCTAAGGAGGACCCATCTCATTTGATTTTGGTCCTATTGGACTGGATTCTTACTTCTTTTTTAGTGCTTTCTACCCTGTAGTGCCTCAATGTGTTCTATACCTTGGATACCCCTTGAGTAAGTTTCTGTGTCATTGTGCCCTGGATAATACCTAGCAGAAAGTAGGTTCTCACTTAGAGTTTGTTGGATGAAAGACAAATGGTAAGGGGCTGAGGGCCTAAGCAAGCCTCATTTTGCAATAGAGGAAGATAGGGAAGGGTGTCTTCTTTCCAGAAACCTGACAAATACTGCTGGGCCATGAGCCATATGGACCCACTAGGAGAATCCACTCTTAAATTGAAAAGTCAACTGACTATAAGGAATAACATAAAGGTGCCCAGACCATAGAATACCTGTAGGTCAATTTTCCATAGTGGCTACTGCTGTCTTTATAGTGTGTTCCCTGACACTTTCAGAAGCTTCTATGGGCCACTTACTGCACAATCATCCTGACCATCCCCATCCCTCAGTGTCAGAGGGAATACAGCCTGAAACTCCTGAAACTCCTTGCCAAGTTCCTGTAGTAACAAGGCAGAACCTCAGCATTCTTCACTTTCTAAGGGAGTTGTCACCTTTCTTGGGAACACCTTCCATTCCATCTCTACCCTTTTCTGACTTGTATAAAAACTTTCCTATCACCATTTGAGCCCATTCATCCTTCTGGCTCCACTGGAGAGATCTGACTTGTTTCTGTATCTTTAAATTATCTGGAACTAAGTAGAGACACAGCAAATAATCATGAACTAAACAAATGAGTTAAAGGATAATCTAGTTTCAGTAAGGCCAGACAAGCATTTCTCGCAAGAGTGCAGAGATCCAATCTGTTGCCATATGCCATTCTTTAAGTATCTTTGGCCTCTAAAAGCATCAGCAGGGTGTTGCCTGACACAATTAAGTACTTAAAGGCTCCATTTGTTTTTCTTGCAACAATTCTCTTCCTCCCAACTACAGCTGATGACAGACTTTGCGGCTATAGCATCAGACTCAGCAGACAAACAGGACCAGAGAGCCTATGCCTGCCACTCCTAGAAACAATGGCCCAAACTCATCCTAATTGCTCAAGAGAAGGCAGTTAGGATTTTCCCTAGTTCAGTGGCAGTATATGGTTCAGAGCTTACATACTAAGCCATTCCAAAGTTTCTTGGAGAGAATCTATACTCTGACATACTCAGGATTGCCTGGGAGACAGACACAGCAGGAGTGGATCCCAGGGAATAAGGTCTTCAAGAGGAGCTCTCATTTCTTTCATAAGGAGATAGGAAGAGACCTGGGGAGCTCAAGAATAAGCCAAGGCCTGGTTCAGCTGCTGAGATGCAGCCTGACCAATTAAATAATTGGTGTGATGGGGAAAGGAAGGAAGCCACTCCTTTCAGGCAAGATCCAGCCCCAGGCAGGAGGCTCTGGGCAGCTGTGCAACAACAGGGCAGGGATCTCTTCCTCTTCCTCCCACTAGCTGAGAGCTAATGCTTAAATTAGCACCTTGGAAACACCCAGATCTCCTGGTTGCTCCTTCTTGCTCAGTTCCTGCCACTCCCCCAGGCCTCCTTCTCAAGCTGAGTTTCTCTTCCAAGTAAAAGAAGAAAAGGGGGGAAAATGATGCCTTCTCCTACAGCTCACCTTTCCAAGTAAGGAATGGCTTCTAGATTCTTCCCACTACTCTGGGGTAGAGGAGGTTTTAATGATAAGAGCCCAAATAACTGGCCTTTTGGGTACTCAAGGTCCTGAAAGAGGCAATGATGTTGACACCAGATTGCCCTGTTTCCTTTGGGATTAAAGAAGCAGCACCCTCTTTTCCCTCAAGAGGGGCTCATTCAGAAAGTAGTGGGTTTTGTTGTTGTTTGTTTGTTTTTTTGGTTCTGGGGATTGAACTCAGTAACACTCAACCACTGAACCACATTCCCAGCCCTATTTTGTATTTTATTTAGAAACAGGGTCTCACTGAGTTGCTTAATGTCTCACCTTTGCTGAGGCTGGCTTTGAATTCATGATCGTCCTGTCTAAGCATCTTGAGCCACTGGAATTACAGGTGTGGGCCACCACTGTGCCCGGCTCAGAAAGTGAACAAGAGAAATAAACCTTCACCAAACTGTGAGCTCCGGGAGGAAAGGGCCATATCTGTGTCTGTGTTGCTAACCATTCCCTGATATCTAGTGTAGTGTTTGAAACAGGGCAGATGCTCAATAATTATTTAGTAAATCACTTGCTAAATCAATGAAACCAGGTTCTATGATATACTTTGGAAGAGAGAGTGGGGAGCTACTATTTAAACTTCAAATGCATAATTTGTCTTCATTTTCACAAATGGAAAAGGAGACTTCCTAGAGGTCTCCATAAATAATGGTAATAAATAAAAGAGATCACAGCTAAATCCAAGCCTGGAACCCTAGTTTTATGGTCTACCTGAGTACCCCTAAAGAACCATTTTTGCTCTCTCTTCTGCATTTTACCTCTGTGATATCTTCTTGATTGCTAATGCTACAAATGAAGGCTCCTGTATTTTGTTGAGACCAGCAGAGTCTTGTATGGGGAAATGCATACAAGACTCTGCTGGTCTCAACAAAATACAGAAATAATCTGGGGACAGAAGTCAAGAAGCTGGGCAATGTTTATGACCTCCAAATGGGGGAGGGCTATATTGCTATTTCTATAAGACTCACTCAACCTCAATAAAATATTCTTTTACAGACAAGGGCTACTTTAGTCTTCAAGAAAAGGGTCTGCCAATAGCTACAGTTATTCTAATAAGTACCTCCTTGCTACAAATACTTTTACTCCAGGATCACACAGCAGAATTAGCTTACTATTAAGAACTTCAGGGGGGCTGGGGATGTGGCTCAAGCGGTAGAGTGCTCGCCTGGCATGCGTGCGGCCCGGGTTCGATCCTCAGTACCACATACAAACAAAGATGTCCACCGAAAAAACTAAAAAATAAATATTAAAAAAAAATTCTCTCTCTCTCTTTTTTTTTTTAAAAAAAAAAAAAGAACTTCAGGCACTAGGCAGAGCGGCACACACCTATGATCCCAGAGACTCAGGAGGCTGAGGCAAGAGGATCACAAGTTTGAGGACAGCCTCAGCAACACAGTGAGACCCTGTCTTAAAAAAAAAAAAAAAAGGACTGGGGATGTAACTGTGGTAAAGCACCCCTGGGTTTGATCCCTAGTACCTAAAAACCAACAAACAGCAACAAATCTCAGTCAATAACAGAGGCACAAAGGACAACTGAGAGATTCTGGTGGCCTTATTCCTTCTTCTCCTTCCTTGTACAGTTACTATCTTCCTTCTCAGGAACCCCAAATGGAAGACAAGAACCAACTCATTGCTTCCTTCTCCTGATTTACTTGAACATCCCGCTTTCATTCTACCTCCCTTTTGTTTCTTGGTTAAAACCTTAGAGCTGGAAGGGTAATCTAGTCTGACAAGCAAGAATGGTTGGATAGAGAACCTATCAAGGAAAAATTTCCTAAACCAATCCAAAGTTCTTCAAGTTCATGATACAAACTCCCTCCTTTTCTGGCTCCAACATAATTCACTAGTGGCATCAGGCTACAAAAATGTCCTGCACCATCTCTTTACTTTCCTTAGTTTAAAATTGTACACTTCTATAAAGCTTCTCTGTTTTGGCATCTAGAACTGTCTAAGTCATCACAAAAGGGGGGAAAAGTCACTTATTTTCATTCACATTCAGTCATTTGGTGGCCACTAATAATTCTCTCTACCATCCCCCAAAAAGGCATGGCACAAAGGTGGTCAAGGGTCCCTGCCAAGGCCCACCTTGTCTATTGATAATGGGCAGGTTACTTGCCTAGGAAGCCATAAAATACATTCATCAGCCAGAGGGCTACCTGCTCAAGGGCAGAACCTGTTCCTAGCCACCAGAGGAGGAGTCTTAGGGAGGCCCAGAGCTTCAGGACTTGGAGAGCTCAGCTCAGCTCCAGCAGAGAGCAAAGAATAGGGCACCCACATCTTCAGGTTTCTGGCTTGCCCTGCCTCCTTCCATCTCATGATGGCTTGGGCTCCAACGGGAGAAAACCAACAAGGCCTAAGAGCTCTCTCCCTTCCCCTCTCTCTAGACCGGCTGACTAGGCCTCTGCGCTTGCTATTCGGTAGCCGGACAGAGAGGTCAGTCCGCTAGATTCCAGGGCAATGGCCATCAGGCATGGTCTCCTTTAGGCCTGGCCTTCATAAACCCGCGTCACCCGCCCCTTCAATCCCTTCGGCGCCGGCAGCGATGACATCATTTCTCCCTGACTCCGGGACCACGAACCGGCGGCAGGATCCGCTCCCAGCAAAGACTCCAAGCACGTAGGCCTAAGATGACTGGGGCTCTTGCAAACCAGTGGGCACAAACCGCTTCAGCGCGGCCCCACCTTCTCTCCCATCGGTACCAGAGCGCTATCTTCAGTACCCTTGATCTCGATCTCGCCGCCGCACACTCTCCTTCCTGGTTCCGATCCCCCAGCCTGGCCTGCCTGCGCTCTTCTCAGGAAAAGAACTGATTTCCCAGGTCCTGCACCGACTCCCTGCCCCCACCGGTCCCAGACCGTGGCTCAGCGTTCCTAACCTCATCCAGCGGACGGGCGGGCAGGCCCCTCCTCTTCTAAAAGCCTAGTCCCAGTCTCTCTTAGCTTGACAGCTCCCTCCCCCTCTCTGAGCATCACAGGCCTCTAGGGCTAAGGGCCTATCCACCTTCAATCTCAGCCCCCTGGGCCTAGCGCCTGCGGTGCTCCATGACAGCTCCCTTGCTATCTTCCTCTATGGGCCTCCAATAGCGGTGTGCACCATTGTGCCCTGCTTGGTTCCATCCGACGGCGTTCCGCCTCCGCCGAGGTTGCCCTCCACCCGTACAGGTCCCTTCGCTCTCACACCCTGCGTGTTCTCCCGTTTTCTTGTCCTGTAAGTCTCCCTCCAGCGGCAATGCGTTTCCAGGGCCCTTTGCCCTATTTAATGACTCCCCTCAGAACAATCCCCACGGACTGATTCCCTTCCACCCCCTCAGGTGGCGCCTCCTCCCGGCCCTGGCCTGCTCGCTGCCCGCCCCCTCACCAGCGGTTGCATCTCCGAGTGCGCGGTGGGCACCTGGAACCGGTCGATCTCCTCCATCATGGTGCCGGCTGGCGAGCTGGCCAGGGACCGGGCGCGGCCAGGGATGCCGACGGGACCGCGCGGGGCGGCGGCCCCAGGAGCCCGGCGGGTAGTGCAGACTAGGCCGCCCCGGATGAGTCGGGCGGGCAGGCGGCCAGGTGGATAGAAGGGTGGACAGTGAGAGAGAGGTTCGTGGGCGGGCTGAGGCAGGCGTGGCTCGGTGGGCTTGTCTAGCGCTACCGCGGCTGTGGCCCCACAGAGCCTCAAGTCTGGCCTCTCCTCCTCCTCCGCCGCCGCCTCCTGTCAGCAGCTCAGCCACTGCGGTGACTCGGCAACTCCACTTCCGGGTCCGGGACACCGCCCGGATCCTACATTATTCATGAGGAGGCGGTGTCTGGGCGCCCTAGCCCTCCCACATGCGGGAGTTCCGAATGCGCCAGGCCTCCCTAAGTATTATTCCTGAGAGGGCGGAGCTTAGTGGAGCCGGAGGATCCCCGCTTGCCCGGCCCCGCCTTCTCTCCGTACCGGGAGGGGGCGCCAGCGGCGCCTGCGCCTTAGCTGCCGGTCGGTTGCTGGGTAACCGCGTCAGGGAGGAGCCTATTTTATCCTACAAGGACTCGGGTACTCACGACGATAGCTGTCCCCAAAGAAACCCTGCAACTAGTAATTGAAGTGGAAGAAAGTTAGGATTTCCTGTGTGTGGTCAAGGAGACGGACAAATTTTATGTTCTTAGGCGAGAAAGCGTTTAGTAGACTTTCCAGGGCTTGAGGTGCTTCTTACTTCTGCGGAGATGCCCCCGAAACAGCCTCGTAAATCGGTAATGCATATCATGACCTGCTCTCTCCTGATGGCCTCTGACCTTTGCCGTCAGTGACCTGATGCTACCTCTTCCACCGATCTTTAATCTTCTTTCATCTGTTGACCCTTAACCTTTTCTCGCTGGTGACTCCTGGCCTGTACTCTCAAAGACCTCTGACTTTGTCCTGTTCTCTCTCACTAATCCTGTTCTCCTTTCCTAACCACCCCCCTCAAAAGCTGTTTTTTACCTCTTTCTTACCTGTCTCCCTCACCATTCTGATCTCACCCCACTCATTGCACATACTCATCTTGTCCAGTCTGCCCTACTTGGCACTCTTACCTCCACTTCCACCAATCCCTTCCTCATTGCCCCACACTTTTGTCCCAAAAGAATTATTTGGCCAACTCTGCTGAGTTCCCAGCACTGGGATAGGTGGGGACACAGACCTTGCTATGAGGGAGTCCACAGAGGGGATGAAAGAGACATGGAACAAGAGACTCAGAATATTATACACAGGAGTTTGGCTTAGATTTTCTGTGCTAAAAGACTTGTGAGGAGGGAGAGGTCAAACAGAGAGAAGGAGGAGGCCCTTTTCCCATCCCTGCTCCCACACCACCCTTTGCACATGTCTTTCTTCCCTATGAGTCTGGTCTGCTCCAGTAACTCATTCAACCCATGTAGACATTATGTCCTTGTTCCCACTTGGCCAGATGTCATCTCTTCTCACAGGAAAATTGAGTCACCTCTCCCCTTAGCCTGAGCAGAGGATTCTTTCTTTTTTTCCCAGCATTACCACAGAAGATAAGTAGTTCTGGCTTCTCCAAGAACCCTCTGAGGTATAAAGGACGCATTCACTCATTCCTTAAGAAATTACTTTTCTAAAGCCTTTAGGATTTACCACTCTGAGGCTAACATGCAGCTCCAGCGCTGTAAAGCAGAACTTCTATTAATTTATTCTAAATTTACTACTCTGAAGCCCAGGTATATTGAGGTTTGAAGAGTAAATCTGTGTGTGTCCATGCTATTTATGATTTTATATATTTTTATATGGCTGCTTGTATATAATGTTGACTCCTCTGCTGTTTTTTAAAATATATATTTTTTAGTTTTAGATGGATACAATACCTTTATTTATTTATTTTTATGTGGTGCTGAGGATCGGACCCAGTGCCTCATATATGCAAGGCAAGTGCTCTGCCACTGAGCCCCAATCCCAGCCCGACTCCTCTGCTTTTACATGGCCTTCTGTGGCAGATGACCTATCTTTCTTAGATCTCTGTAGCCATGGAAGGTAACTATTGGGCTGTGCCCTAGTTTTATGTTGAGGTTGAGCTGTGCTTTGAAGCTCATGTACTGTGCTTGGGCCATATGATCCCTTATTTATAGGTAGTTTGTTTTTAACTTGACATTATTGAGTTCTGGTTACATACAATAAAATGAACCATGTTAGTTTGACATGTTTCAAGTTTTGACAAAGTTATAATATATGAATTACCAGTCAAGATGGAGAATATTTCTTCTATTCCTAGAAGTTCCGTGTACTTCATCCCAGTTAGTTCTCTTTAACCTCTTTATCCAGGTAACCATTGATTGGCTTTCTGTCACCATAGATTAATTTTTCCTTGCAACTTGCAGTTTGAACAAGCTTGGGGACAGGTTTCTCCAGCCCATTAGAGGAGACATTAGAGACTAGTTACATTGAGAGAGCAGAGAGAAGTGATAGCAGATAAAAAGAGAAACCTGATGGGGCTGGAGTTGTGGCTCAGTGGTAGAGTGCTTGCCTAGCATGCATAAGGCGCTAGGTTCGATCCTCAGTACCACATTAAAAAAAATAATAATAATGTGTCCACCTAAAACTAAAAGAGAAAATACTTAAATAAATAAATATTTTTTTAAAAAAAGAGAAACCTGGATCAATGGGCCCTGCACATACCATTTAAGGAAAAGTTATTTAGTACAATATAAGTATTGATGAGTAGAGTGTAAGAAAAGGCTAGATTATGGTTCATTGTATTTATCACCATCATGATCCAGTGAAGCCTAATTTGGGTCAGTGCTGATTGTGGAACAAAGTGGAGATGTTTGAGATATTGTCCCTATCTCCTTGGAACTCAGTACCATGGAGGTGACAGAACATGACAGACAAAATATGGAAGGATGAGATCCCTGAAACTGAAAGGGAAGGTGGAGCAGCAGAAAGGCTTCAGGGAGGAGGCAAGTTGGACTTGGATGTCTGCAGTGAAATGGGAAAGTCAGGACTGGTTTGTTGGGGGACAGAGTGGATTTAAACTCTATTTGTTAATGTCACTCTACTGATCAGACCTTTTAGTGGCTCCCTGTTACTTTCAGGATAAAGTCCCAACAGTTGAACTAACTTGTATGGCCTATAAGGCCCTTTATGGTCTGGCCATTACTACTCATCCTACTTCAGACCTTACCATTACTCTGTAAAAATTCCACAACCCAGATACTGAACTGCCCTCACTGCCTTTAAAATAATATCTATACTCTTTTTTCCTTCTAGGCATTTAAAACTGCTGTTTCTACTGCCTGCCTTGTATAATCTTTTCTGTCACCCCATCTTGTCCCAAATCTTCCCTTCATCTCCTGTTCATCCTTCAGGTCTCGCTTGGCCCTCAAATTCTCCTCCAAGAGATTAATTCTTTTTTCTGGAGACAGGTTAGAGTGTCATGGCACCTATCTGTCATGGCAAATATCATGTATCTTCTTGTTCATTGTTGATTCCCCTGTACCTAGCACAATGCAAGGAATATATTAAATTCTGGGGAAATTAGTTTAACTTGAATTCTGAATGCATGAGCTGTTTTTTGGAAATTTTCATTGGGGTATTTTTGAAGGATAGGAGTGAGTGAGCCTGGGATGGGGAATAATAATAAGGGAGAAACTAGTAGGAAGTGATAACAAGGAAACACACTGTATAAGCATATTTTTTCAGGGTTTATATTTGTATTGCCTTTGTAGTAGATCTACGAATGATTCAAATTTGAATTTCATGTATCCCTGGCTTAAGAGCTGGGCATTGAAGACAAGAGGTTAAAAATATTCATGATGTAAATATTCATTTCATTTAATAATTTATAGAGTACCTACTCTGTGCCAGATACTGTTTTAGGTATGGTGACATGGTAAGAAACAAAACAAATAAAATTCTCTGCTTGTGGGACATGGTGGTGCATACCCATAATCCTAGCTCTCAGGAGGATCATAAGTTTGAGGCCAGTTTGCACAATTTAGCAAGACTGTATCTCAAAATAAAAAATAGCAAAGAGCTGGGGATATAACTCAATGGTAGAGCGCTTGCTTAGCATGCATGAGGACCTAGGTTTAATTCCCAAGACTGAAAAAAAAAAATCCTTGCTATCATGGAGCTTATCTTTTAATTGGAAGTAAATTGTTGGTAAATAAATAATACAATAGTATATCAAATGATGTTAAGTGCCAAGGAGAAAAATAAACCAGGGAAGTATAATAGGAAGTTCAGGGAATGAGAATAATTTAAATAGGGTTGTCAAAGAAGTCTTCACAGATATGATATTTGAGCATAGACCTGAAGGAAACGAAAGAAAGAGTTAGGTATGTGATATCGGGATGTGGGTGGGGTGCATTCCAGACAGATGGCATAGGAAGTGTAAAGTTCCTGAGGTGGAAGCCTATTACACATGCTCTGGATCATCAGGGAAGGGAGGGGGAACATGGCAGAAGATAAGGTCAGAGAGGTACATCCCTCTACTCCACAGAGTTAATCAAATAATCCATGGCATATTAAATTGGTCATGATGGAGCTCCATGAATCATAATTTGGAATTAAAATGCATGAATGTCAGGCACCATAAACCATGACCAGCTCAAAACATCACTGGTAATGCCCCAATAACAAAGTGTCCTTCCTGAAAATTGCGAGAATGCCAACTGGCTGCATGTGTACATGTGCAAGAGGAGCTTTGCAGCATTGCCAAACATTGCCTGGCAGCCTGACTTCTTAGTAGAAAACCAAATTAGAGTCTTCTGTGAACTCCAGTTAAAAGCTAATTTTAGTTTATGACTAACAAATTTTAGTACCCCTTTATAACTCAGTTGGTTACCATAAAAAAAATCAAAGTCTGGAATTTTGTATTATTTGCCTATAAAAAAAAAGAAAAACTTGCATTTTAGATCATTTTGTGGACTCCCTAGAGGCTCTTTTAGGACACAACTTTTAGAAATATCCATCTAGATGAAGAGTTACTAGGATGGGGTAAGGGGCAGGATTGGGTACAAGGCTAAAAGAGAATCTTGGATAATTCAGAAATTTTGAGTCTGGTAATGGGGCCTAGAATCCATAGAAGGAAGGATAGGAAATGAACAGAATCTAGGGGAAGTTAATGTGTTTCTTTATGTCCAAAGTAAGATCTCTATGATTCTTCACCTCATTGTCAACCTAACACATATCTTTCTCAAGTCCTAAGTAGGATCTTTCTCCCCTTTACCTCTTAAATATCTCTCAAATTAAATCACTGCTACCTCCCTGACCCAACCTATAATCCTCTCTCACTTAAAAACTATAAAAACCTTGGAAATG